CCCACCCCCCCACACACACACACAAAAAAAAGGCAGCAAAGTATGATGTGGTTCTGATGTTTGACATATTTGCATGCATGGACAATTTTTTTTAAAAGTGCTGTATTCCCCATCATTATGCTTTTCACAACTAGGTCTTCTTTTGTATCATAAAAAGCTACTCTTAGAGTCGCACTACTACCCTGGCAATTGTAATCAGAAAGGTTGTTATTCATTCTTATTTCGTAGCATCTATTGTTTTAAAAACGCTTACCCTCTTTCAAGACAAATGATCATGTGGAGGTTGATTAGGAAATGAAGTCTCTTTTATATTAATTTTGTCAGAGCTCATGATTTCAAGTTGAACTAGCCTCCTCCTTCAGATCCTGGTACAATTTGATTTCAAGCACCATTGTTGATCAACTCCTATGACTATCCAGATGGTTCATGACCGGGTGATTCTATCTTCAGGCTTAATTTTGTCATTTCACGACTGATCTGATCTGATCCCCCCGGACCCCAACCCACCCAAAGAAAAACCTTTTGCTTTCCAAACTTTTCATCTCAATTGAGGGCTGTCCAGACCTGTAAAAGGAATATCAGTCCTTAAAGAAGGAATATCTCACTATTTTATTAGTGTTTCCTATGGTGAGTGTCTTCGCCTATGATGTTATAGCAGTGAGTCTCCAGAACAGTAAGAACATGGACTACTCTCTGTTGTTCTGCTGCTTCTGATTTGCTCTTGTTATCTCTTAGGCTTGTGCATTCTCCGCCACTTGAAATCCTCTTCCTTATACTTTGGCACCTCTTCTTTACTTCTCCGTTTCCCCTTATTCCTTTTATTTTCTTTGAAGATTGTTAGTACTTTAGTTGGATGCTTCAGTTGTAGGGGTTGTATTACTGTGCCCGTGATTATGAACAGATCAAATCCTTTTAGAATCTTGATGGCTGTGTAGTTCTGCCAGTATAACTAATTTGAAATTCGTCATGTGTAGTGGTTTGATCAAGTAGATGTTCAGCAGCAAACAACAAATTCTGTTAGTTGTACATCGATGGCTTCTTTGGTTCATATACTATTTGAGAAGATTTGAAGCTTCTATATGTGATTTATTTCTCATGCCTGTGGCAATGATCAGCTGAGCTACTAGGTGATTCCTGCTCAATATACGGATACTTACAAGGAAGTCAAGCAACTTTGATGGGACGTTCATTGTTGCCAAGCTACCTGTAGATTTTAAGCATTTGGATTCATCAATTTTTTAATATCAAATTGCAAAGTTTTGCAGCAAATATTCTGATCAGTCAATTAGAAGTTATTTCATCCTACTTGTTCCTGTTGGCTTCTCTGACCTTATATTTGGGGATGGATAAATGCAAATGGTTAATTGCTTGAGTTATAAATATATGAGAATAACCTTGGAGCTGGCTGCACGGATGTTTGATAGTAGGGAGTTTTATAGCTTTACCCACAAAAACTAAACTAATTACCCATTGGTTTTTCTAATCACCAAACTAATTACCTTTCTTACCCATAGTAGTTTTTGTGGGTGATTGTTTCTTTTTTTTTTTCTCATGTTCTTTTTTATTTCTCTGCTTTATTTTTTGTCTTTTCTTTCTTTTCTCCTTTTACTTTTTCTTGTTTTTATTTATTTATTTTCTTTTTCTATTCATATATTTTTTTCAAGAATCATATTATTCTTTATTTTCTTTATTCACCATAATCTGCTTGTATACTCAATTTGGCTCGTTTCTTTTCATTTTTTAATATTTTTCTTTCCTTTTGTTTTTTTTTTAATTTCGTGTTCCTTTTCTAATATCATTCAATTTTTTTTTTTAAATTCCCTTTTTTCGCATATTGCTGTTTTATGTCTTCTGACACCTATTTCTTATACAATGAATATTATTTTCATGGAACTTCATCAAAAAATTCATTTAAGAAAATATCTGCAAGGACCTAGTTGGAAAAATTAAAAAATGACTTATTTATTACGATATACTGTTATATTATATTGTATACTATAATAGTATACTGTTACTATAATCATGACTTTAGCTTTGCACAATACCACTTAGATGATTCAACAAATAGCAGTGAAAGTATACTATTATGGTATATTGTATACTATTACACCATACTGTTAAAGTATATTACATATTATTATAGTATACCGTTATAATATATTGTATACTATAACAATATATTGTTGCAGTATAGCTATATACTCCTATAGTATATTGTATATCGTAGCGGTATACTGTTAGGTAATTGTATTTTTCTTCGATTATTACAGTATACCGTTGTAGTATATTGTATACTATAACAGTATACTATTGTAGTATATTGTATACTATAACAGTATACTATTATAGTATAGCTATATACGTCTACAACATATTGTATATCGTAGCGGTATACTGTTGGGTAACTGTGTTCTTTTACATTTTTAGCTAAAAATTTTGATCTCAATCACTTCAAATCAGCTCCAACAGCGATCAAATTTCAGTATGAACTTCCAGGGTACTGTAAGCAATAATTAATAGCACCAAAATCACAATTAAAATCTAGGAAATGACTCGAACTAGAACAAATAGCGACAAGAAAATATAAAATTTGTAGGGAGGGAGAGAGCGTTTTGTGGCGATGAAAGGTATTCAATAAACCTTCAGGGGTTGGCCTGCTGGCAATTGACTTGAGCCTTGGGGTTTGCTCCCTTTCAAGGTCTCAAGTTCGAAACTCACTGGGTGCAAACAATTTCTGAGGGCCATCGGACTGGGTAAAACCTGAATTAACCGTGGTGCACTTGCGGGAAACTCATTGCCGAGGGCCTGTGCACCCCCGGGATTAGTCGGAGCTCAAAGAGACTCGGACACCCGGTGCAAAAAAAAAAAAAAAAAAAAAAAAAAAAAAAAAAAAAGGTATTCAATAGGCGAAGATTTCATTCAGCAAGAGAAATTTAACTACATACTCGTAGTGAGTTGATTGAATCGTAATTTGTAGATATTGAGCAAACCTCTTTGTAGTTGTATACACAAAATCATCACATAACTAAACGAAAATTGCTACTCCTTGCATCCATTAATTTGCCAATATTTTACTTTGCGAATATTATAAATGTATTTATTACCACCAGTACATGATTTATGTTCATCATCGTTAGTGTTGAAGTTTTAGCTTTCGAAGATTAAACAAATAATGTATAATAAAATAGAGGACAAAAAAGAATCTCAGCATCTACAAAGGAGAAAAAAGTGGACATAACAAAGATAATTCAGTAAATGAAATACTCATTGAAAAATGGAATTGAAATGCACATATATTTGAGTAATTATATAACCAATATAATTTAAAAAATAGTTTGATGACTTTTACGAGAAATTGAATTACAATAAGAGAATGACCAAACACAGTTAAGAGAAAATTTAATTATGTATATATATATTCCATCACATCATACTATGAAAGGTCAAATGTTAACATAGTTTCTCACTAACTAATTATGTTGGATTCTTCAAAACCTGTTAGAAGAAAAATTTTTTTAACTCATCAGGATAAAGAAAGATTTTCCCTTTTAACCAAAAATACAAATTGGAAGGAAAATATAAATGAACACACAAGTTTCGACGATCTCTATAATTAATTTTTAACAATACGGAACAATGATTTAATTTTTACCAGTTAGGACCCATGATGAAGTAACAATTAATTAATCTTTCCTCTTTACAATTCGGTCACAAAAATCCTAGCCCACATTTTAGTCTGTTGGTATCACAAAATATTTTTCCAAAATTTAATAATTCGTATATTAAATTTTAAAAACATAATCCACCTATGTAGTATAAAAAGAAATTGTTAGAAAGACAAAGACGGAAAGAAAAAGCTATGACATTAGCAAAACACTTGCAAGAATTAATAGAAGAGAATGTACCTAATTTGATATTTGTAGTTAGCTTTGTATGCAAGAGATGTTAACCAGATATAAGCAACTCAAAAGAAGAATGTTTCTTTATGAAAAAAAAAAAAAAAGTATTACAGTGGTTTGAACAGAGAAGATGAAAATAATTGCAAGAATTGAAAAGACTATCGTGGTACAACTTTACTAAGGAGGAGTTGAAAGGGTGCAATGGTGCATCACTACACCTTTATCATTTACTCTGCTCATTGTAATGTCTTTTACACAATTGTATTTTCATTTATCTAATTTATAGTAGATTAGTAAACATATTATCATTTATTGAAGGGTAAATTTACTTTTTGGTACAAAAATATTATAGGAGTAGAGTACAAAGGAAGGATAAAATGGCCATCTAAATTTTTATGGATATTTTGGTAATTCAAGTTTAGTTTTAGGAGCTTTCTACTTTTAGTATAACTAGTTTCTGGACACATGCATTGCACATGTAACCCATGTTAATCGGTACTATAAAATGATATAAGTAACATTAAAATACATGTGTCATGAGTAACACAAAAAAATAAATTTGAAGTGAATAAATATAAGCGTAAACTGATAAAAAATGAACCTATTTGACTGATTTGGTTGTCAAATACAAATAATTGGATATCGGTAATATAACAGCATTTAGTTAGGTAAGTACGACGTATAATGAACTCAATTTTAATGTTATTAGATACAATTTTAAATTTTAATTTTATCATATTGATCCAAATTAGACACACTATTTAGGCTGAAAGAGAGTGTCCAAATTGCTTTGCAATCAAACAAATGCAATACTATAAAGATGACCAACTGTCACGATCCCAATTTTCCCTCCGTAAGATGTCGTAACGGCACCTAATCTCTAAGATTAGGTAAGCCTAACAAGCATGCGGAATAATTGAAATAATAAGCTAAAAGCTCAAAACGTCAGCAGCTGTATAAAGTAAAAACTGTAACTCAAAGTGTATATAACTCCCAAAACCCGATAGATATAAGTCACAAGTTCTAGATACAATGTTGCGAATATCCTAAACATTACTCTCTATCAAAACATAAAGAAACAAGGAGAAGACATGATAGAATGGGACTCCAAGGCCTGCGGATGCGGGCAAGTATACCTTGAAATCTCCAAACAACAGCACAATACTCTAATATCGAGGCTGATAGGATGCACTTGGATCTGTACAAAAATATATGCAGAAGTGTAATATGAGTACACCACAACGATACCCAGTAAGTGCCAAGCCTAACCTCGGTAGAGTAGTGACGAGGTCAGATCAGGGCCCTACTGGGACTAATAAGAAACAAGGCAGAAGATATAATAATATAATAAAGTGACAGGGAAGTGTAACAATAGAAATTTACGAAAGGTAACAACACGGAATCAAGAAGACAAATACAACACGTATGGAAGCAAGAATGTTACAGGTTAAGGAACAACAACAACAACAACAACAACAACAACAACAACCAATACAGCGAGTAGAGGAAATCAACAGGGGCACTCCCGAGGTACCGTCTCGTAGTCCCAAAAATAAATATCTCACAATCTCTCCTTATAATAACAACCGCATGGCAGAAACCTCGTGCCACAATAACAATCCGCACGGTAAAAATCTCGTGTCACAATAATAATCCGCACAGCAGAAATCTCGTGCCACAACCAAATTTTATCATATTGATCCTAATTATACACACTATTTAGATTGAAAGAGACTGTCCAAATTGCTTTGCAATCAAACAAATGCAATACTATAAAGATGACCAACTATCATGACCCCAATTTCCCCTCCGTAAGATGTCGTGACGTCATCTAGTCTCTAAGATTAGGTAAGCCTAACAAGTATGCAGAATAATTAAAATAATAAGCTAAAAGCTCAAAACGTCAGCAACTGTATAAAGTAAAAACTGTAACTCAAAGTGTATATAACTCCCAAAACCCGGTAGATATAAGTCACAAGCTTTAGATACAATGTTGCGAATATCCTAAACATTACTCTCTATCAAAACATAAAGAAACAAGGAGAAGACAGGATAGAAGAGGACTCCGA